TCTCACATACTGTTTTAGCCTATTAAATAGCAATATGTATCAGTATGGAGGTTCGGACACAGCCCAACACTTTATGGGGTTGAGGCCAAGTCAAGACTAGACAAGTGTGAGTCCCACACTGTATGACACACTTATGATAAAATGTGGAACGTGCCAACAGTGGGCACTCCTCAGATTGTTCTGAAAGCTCCACATTTCCATAAAAACACCCACAGAAAACAATGAAGCTTCCTCTTCTGTCACCTCTTTGATTACCATATATGTACTGTGTGTAACTGTAAGGGTACCATGAGACAGGTCTTGATAAGATAATCAAAAGGCATTTGATAGATTAATTTTATGTGTGGGAGTGTTCCTTTGTTTTCTATGAGCAAACAAATACAAACAAAATAATATCTAAAGTCCTCTTTGACTGAAACAGAGACAAGACTGAGCAAAAATGTGGTTGATTCTGAGACCAGACCTTCAAAAAGTGAACAGCTACAGTTTCCAAGCTGAAGAGTGTGCAAACCAACTGTTGAGGAAGATTGCATGATACAATCAAAAGCTCCAGAGCAGCTCCTAAATGGACCTTGTAGTGGGTTTTGTCTTCTTTACTTTTTCTGACTTTTCTCTAATCTTTGCTTTTTTCTTGTGAAGCACTCGACAGTTTCGCCTCTTGAGGCTTGCAAACAATTGTTCAAATGACACAATCTGAGAGGGTTCGAGGATAAAGACATTGTACTGAAGAGGCTGCAAGAAGACACTGCCTCATTTTAACAGCTACAGTTCAAAACTGCTAGAAACAGAACTTTAATTGTATAAAATCATAATCTGTTTCAGCTGTATAATGTCGTCCATAGGCCAGTTAATTATGTACCAAGAAGTCACATTGATAATATATTATGAAGACCACTCACAATTCAATAGGAGATCATAATCTTTAAATGTCTATATGTTATAAAATAAGATCAGTTACTCACCACAGTGGGGCTCATCATAACAGTAGTAGTCTGGAATATAGAAATATCAAAATGTTGGCAAGCATAATTTTTCTTCTTTTGTTTAATCAGCTTGAATTTATAAATTAAATGTAATAAATACAGTCTTTGCCATCTGAGACTGGAGCTGGACTCTCACCTGAATTAACGTAAGAAATAACAATCATGAGGAGAGCAGCAGTCCAAATCATCGTAGGATCCCACAGCCCGGTGACTCAGGACAGGTGTCGGTATGTGAGGTAGACTGCGGATCAGTGACAGACGTCGTGCTTAAATAGGAGCTGGAGGTGAAAGCTGAGTTTTATTTTCTCCTGGTCTGATCAGTGAAGCGTGTCATTACCAGTCTAGTGGTCTTTTCTGATCAACAGGCTCATTGATGCAGGACAGCTTCACCCCCTGCTCCCCCTCCTGCTGCTGCCAGCATAGATGCCCAGTGACCATCAACAAGAGCCATTCATCTCATGGGAACGTCAGAGGATGTGTAGCGCACTGAATTAGAAGGGGATGGAATATATATGGCTGTATATAAGGAGGGTGTAGAAATTTACACCTGTAACTCTCTTAATAGTTAAAAAATAATAATGTGGAGACATTCAAATTTTAAAGAAAAAAATAATCCCTCCAATCACTGTGTGAAATAACATTTTATACGCTTTTAATGTTTCCCCTTTGAGTTAATCATTATCCACCACAGTAATATTTAAGTACTGAAAGTGCATCCTCTTTATTTCAAATATTAATGTACTGCAGCTGTTAGTAAAGCCCTTTGAGTTAAGGGCGTATTATATATAGATCGATTATAATTTTATAAAACCTCAGATATGTGTGATAGGTTTAGTTTTTTTCTATAAATATTAAGTTATTTATTTACTATTATAAATTATAATTTATTTACTTATTTCTTCCTTTCTTTTCATTTCTTTATTTATTTTAATATATATTTACATTTTTTAATTATTTTAATTTATATTTAGTTAATTATTTACAATTATATTTGACTTTTTTCTTTATGTAATTAGAAATGCATTACATATTTTTAAATTATTTTATATATATTTATTTACTACTATAATTTATTTACTTATCTGTTTTTCTCTATTTTTGTTTATGTAGAAATATATATATATATATATATATATATATATACACACACACACACACACATATTTTTAAAAATATTTTATTTATATTTAGCTAATTATTTAGTTTGATTTTTTTTATATTTTACTTTATTTTTACTTTTTATTTATTTATACATCATTTATAGTTAGTTATTTATTTGTCTCTGTTAGGTCCTTTGTCAGGGAATTTTCTGTTCTGGTAAAAATGAAAAAGTTATGTTACAATTTAATCACCGTCGTCTTGGCTGAACGGCGTTAAGAGCTTCATTTCTCCCATCCAGGAATAGATGATGTGATTCTGTCACTACACGGCCCAAGTGAACAAAGCTTCTTTTCTTCAGCCACAATGCTCTCCAGCAGGGTATCGCTATCTCTGCCCCGCCTGCTGCCTTATGAGTCACTGCGAGGTGCGCTATATCCGCTTTCTTTAAATTATTTGAATCTTGTGATTGCTGTGGATTGGATTTATCCTACAACCTCCATCTCACTGCTGGGGGGGGGGGAATTTCCCTGCGTCTCAGCCTTAATCCTCTTTGACATTTGGTCAGTGCAGACGGAGGACTTTCCTGCAGGACTCTCAGAGCGGCTAAATGTCGTAATTGATGAGGTTCAACATAGAGTTCAGTGCGATGCTGTGTTCATACCCACTGACGCATGAGTTGTCCTTCATGGTGCAATTTATTTGGCATTTGATTAGATGTACATCTACCTCAGAAAAACACAAGCCCCCCCACTGAAAATGAAGCAGTTTTAAATTTAAAGGCTATGAAAGAAAAGACAATGAAATGTAGCATTTGCTGTATTATACATAAAACATTTCAAATCCAATAAAATTAGTTGTCACACCACCATAGTCTAGCACAGAAACTACAGTGTAAATGCAGCTGTTGGGGTCATGGGCAGGTTTTTTTGATGCACACGGAGATGTTAAACTATATTTCTTTGAACCTACTGTACAGGACAGACTAAAAATGTTTCCATCAAAAGAAAAATCTCTCAGCATGCCAAAAGATAAAAACATGCACCGCAGCTCCAGAAAGCAGGTTGGAAAATAAAACCAAAACAAACTTGATGAAAAAGAAAAATCCAAACCAGAACACTGTCTCCTACACACACACACACAGACACACACACGCACATGCAGACGCTACTTCTTTTCCACAATTTATGAGATTTTGTTTGTTGGGTAATCCGCTGTGGATTGTCAATGCCAAAAAGAAAATTAAAGAAAAATGGGGAAAGTAAGCTTGAGCACAAAAAACAAACAAAAAAAAAAAAAGTTTTAAAGTTAAGTTTTAAACATACAGTACATTCAAACATGAGATACACAGACGTGCATTCAGACACACATTTACAGCTGATTTTCTTGAGGCAGATCAAAAGCGGTTTTGAATGCTGGTGGTTGTGGGTCGACTCTGATCTTCAGGTTTTGTAAAATTCATCCTTGAGTAAAATCAAGCGATTGTCGCCACAAAATGGGTCTTAACAAGTTCCAGATATACAAGTTTACACTTCTCTTTTATTACAATTGTTTTACTTCGATCCCACTGAGAAACAAGGACGGTAACAGACCCATCAACACCAACAGAAAAAAGACTCACAGCTCCGTCAGTAGCTGAAAACGACCTCAATAACTGAGATAACAGATGTATCGCGTGAAGAATCACACATACAAATACATCAAGAACAGAGGGGCAGCATCCAGATGTGACAAACTCCTCCCCTCCCCCGAAAAAAAGGAAACAAAAACCCTGATTTAATCGAGGGATGAGCGTGCAAAACATTGAGCTCTGAATTACTAAACATGGTTCAGTTAGCAAATACACAACTATGCAGCGAAGACTTAATAATAAAGTAACAACAATGGGACTGTCTGCATGATTAAACCACTTCATGATTGGAACAGTTTATCTCAAATAAATTGACTCAAATTTAATAAAGGGATGTCTTCCCTAGTCTTCACACGTACACTTGAAAAGCTTCATCGCTTCCTCTTGCTGATCCCACAATAAAACAATCAAGATTACAGCCTGCAGTCATAAATTATCAAAATAACACAATAACAAACTCAGATATTTATCAGTACCACAACATTCCTTGATACATAATGCCTTGTGTCAGCATTACCTAATAAAAACCCCCTACAAGCAGGAAACTAACCGTACTTTCTCGCAAGGTTAAACCTCTTAGTTACAAAACTTTTGCTGCAAATATGCGCTATAAACCTGGAAGACAGCGTCATGTATCAGACTAATAAGAAAGTGAGGGCACAGTAGATTCTTATGAGCAAGTAGAAATTGAGATCTGGGGGCGTCGGTGGCTTAGTGGATAGAGCAGGCGCCCCATGGTTGCCGCAGCGGCCCTGGTTCGACTCCAGCCTGTGGCCCTTTGCTGCATGTCACTCCCTCTCTCTCTCTCCCCCTTTCACACTTGTCTGTCCTAACAATTAAAGGCTAAAATGCCCAAAAACATATCTTTAAAAAAAAAAGAAAGAAAGAAATCGAGATCTGGGGACATGCCGTGACAGACGGGGCCGATGAGAACATTGTTGTAGCCTGGAGACCGACAGATCAACACAGATACGTCCGTTTGAACAACAGTAAGATGCAAACAAAAATGCACAAGGGACAATAGCTGGCGTCACTGTCCGTCTGTCGTTCTTAACCTTGTGCTGGACTGTGACGCACAGGTATTACAAATTTGACCGGCACAGACCTGAAGGGGTATTTACATCAGGGCTTCTTGACCAATCGGACCAACTCTGAGATGTTTCAAAAGCTTTGCTTAGTCGATGCTAGAAGTAAAAGTGCAGCCTTCGCAGCCTCGATGTAGTGTTTTTTTTCTCTGTACAGAAACAGTCTGCTCTGCTCCCTCAGATGCCAGTGTTTAAAAAAAAAAAAAAAAAAAAAAACTCAGAAGGCCAACTGCAGGAAAGTCTTCAGAAAGAGGGCATCCTTGCACTTGAAAGAAGCACGCCGCTTCTGATGTGTCTGTACAAACTTTAACTCCCTGCAGTCAGCACTTTGACAAATGACACCACCGTCTGCTGCGTCCTCTCTTGGTGCAGAATGCACTCATGACCTTCCTCAACCAGCAGGTAATGTCCGGATGCAGCTCCCCGCCGTCCGTCCACAGTCCTATTATACTACGGTGCTGAGGGTGGAGGCGCAGTCCGTGGGCATGGAAGCGGGGGCGTGGCCATCTGTCGGGGTGTCAGGCCCCACCAGGAGGGTGCTGCTATCTATGGAGTCCTCCCTCTCCTGAGAGGACGGCGCCGAGGCTGGCACAGGGGCAGGGGCGTTGGGAATATCGGACTGAAGCCCGTCTCCCATAGCGTTCATCTGGCTCGGCACCATGGAAACCCCGTTGTGTCCTGCAGGTGATGACAAAGAGAGGAAATGAAGACGGGAGCTTAACATAGTACATGATGAGATACGTGAATAACAGCATTGCCGCCTACCAAGGTCCACGTAGAGGAGGCTGTCTGGGTTGATGGAGGCTTCGTACGGAGGAGGAGGGTCGTCGGGGTGCTGGATGTCAGGGTATTTGTAGGCTGCGTACGGTGGAGGAGGCTCTTGGAAATGGAAAGCGCCTCCCTCTCCATCATCAGACAGATGCAGGGGAGTGAGGCCGGTGCCAAAGGCATCCGGGCCGTAGTCAAAGCCTGGGACTCGTCTTCCAAGGTTAAAGTGGTGCACTGAGCAATAAAAACAGACAGAGACAGAGGATGATGTGAAATGACTGCATTTATGATGCATCCATGAAATGAGCCTTTTAAAAGAAACCTCCATTTACAGCACAAATGTAAGGTGCAAGAAAAAGGAGAGAGGTTTATGCGACTGAATTTTTATAAGTGTTTCTACAAGACGTTTTCCTTAACATTCTTTAGCTACGAGGGAGTCTGAATTCTTGTTCAGATAAACGATGACTGTTTACTGAGAGCATGGTGCCTTAAGAAGTCGACACCAATAAACCTTTTTTTACTTTTACCGACATTAAACTAAAGCTTTGTGTATTGCAGCACTTGAAATTAATATAAATAAAAACCTGGTGCTGCATGTAATTTAACTGAGACTAATTACAATGAGAAAGCCTTAAACTACATGATCAAATTACTATTAATTAGAGAGCAGTATGTGTGAGTGTCCAACAGGCTTAATGCTCACAGTTTCCGCCAATCAGAGTTTCGATGCGTTCACGTCTCCGCTGACGGAGCCTGTGCACCATGAAGAGCAGCAGGGAGAGGATGAGGAAGGAAGAGATGCAGCTGACGATCAGTCTCATACCGCTGGCCATCGAGTCAAACAGGCTGTTTCCATCTGAGGGAAAAGAGAGGAAAGAACGACAAAATAAGAGTATCACACGCTGAGAGCTCTGTGGTGCTCTTGAGTATGAGAAATGGACACGTTGTTCTGGCTTAGCTCTGAAAAGAATTCTGCATTTTTCATGTGTGAAGAGTTGTGTCAATTGAGTTCATGAAAGCATCTAGTAGTAGATGGTAGATGCCAGCTCTTCAGTTTAATAGAGGCTAGACTGAATCCTGATTAATTTTTTAACAGTATTTTACAGATATTTTAGAACAAAGGTTTTTCTTGCAAAAAGTGTAAAAAGTACTCTAACTGAAAGAGTCAGCAAAAACTTGCCAAAGGTTGCAATAAATAATAAAAAATAACTGTAGATCTGTGAGGAGCTCAGAGAAACCATAGAGAATAAATACTTAAAGATAGTTTGGAACTTATAAAGTCGGGTTAAAGTTATATGCTTAAATCACACAGTAACACAAACAAACAAACTGATCGAGGCAGCAGTAGACCAGCAGCCACTGGGTTCAGCAAGCTAAAATGACTGTCTCTGTAAATGGAGTCTGGTGGCAAGAGCGATATAACGGCTTCAGTCCCCCGTTGGAAGGGCTGTCTGACAGCAAGGTCAAGAGATAAAAATATTCTAAATATAGCATACACTTAAACTAACATTTTTTTTTCAAGTGGTTAAAGTACATTTTGCTGCTGCCCCCCAGCACAGCTTCCTACTCCTGCCTGCTTCTCTAAACTGGGGGCGTATCGACTAACATCTATTGCGTGTAATACACTGACTATGGATAAGTACCTCATACAACCACTTCAAATTCTATATTCTGCGAATGTGGTAATACCTGGGTCCAGGCAGGTGAACTTGCAGCACTCTTTAGGATCCTTGCGGAAGTGCTGGCAGCCCTGCGGACGCTCACACAAAGCTGCCACACACATCTCAGGCTCACCGTCGTGACACGTGCAGCTCAGACACGGGTCGTCCCCTTTAGGGGTGAAGTAGTAGCCCTCGTTTACAACGTTGTCTTTTATATCCACGCACGTCTGCCCTGTTGGGAGAATATGACATTGAAACATTGTCCAGAATAACCCTTATACAGCTGGAAACTAATAGCTCCACAGCTCGGAAGGAAAAGCCAAATTGAGTACATACTCCTTTTGCAGAGGAAGGGGAACTTCTTGTAGCAGTTCTCAGCGTGCCAGCTGTGCAGGCCTCGCTCATTCATGCTTTTGATCTGAAAGCGCTGCAGCTGGGCACAGAAGACGTTGTCCTGCGTGGGAGACGCCTCCCCAAAATTGGTTAGACCCTCAGGTGGCAGAAAAACCTGCATCGATCCTGTTGAGGCAAAAAAAAGACAAAACATTTTTAAGCATTAAAACAAGTTACATAGCAATAGTCGACTTTCTTAAGCCCATAAAGCCACACACCTTTGTAAGCAACCTCCCAGCGGCCCTCCAGGGAGTGGTTCTGATTGGTGATCACATACTGGTAGCCCACCCAAAACCTTAAAAACAAACAAACAAACAAATCAAACTACAACAATGTATAAATTCACTGTGTCAGTAGGTCCATTTCAGGGGGTATGCATCAGCCAGCTACCAATTTAAAGTTCCAGCATTGGCCACTAGATGGCCTGCAACCTATGACAAAGCACTCTCACTCCCAACCTCTGCTCAAACACACAGATACATTTGACTGTATATTTAGACTTGACATAAAAACGAAAACTGCGAACTATAAAGGAACTTAACTTCTTACAGTTTTTCTCAACTGCTAAGACATGCTTAATGAAACTAAGACCCACTTGATCTTCATCATCACCTTCCTATCACAGCAGAAGCCTTTTCTTGCAAATGTGTTAACACTTTTTATTTAGTTTCACACATTTCTCACACCCTTGTCTCAAACAGTAAACACAGATCTCATTAAAAGACCCCAAAGTGTATCAGATTAACTGTGTAACCAAATGAAAACATCGATTCAAATCTGATAGAAGTTGCTTGCATGATTATGAATCTTTAATGCGCCTGTGTGAAACTCCTCTGCACAACTCTTTAATCAGCAATCAGTACTTATTCGACTATAAAAGATGGCACCTCTGCGCTGCTATTTGCAAGCATGGATCAAAGCAGCCAAAGGCACGAAAAATGAATAATGAATGTACTAAAATGAAGAAAACCTTCTTAAGAGTCTCTTTCTACAGTATTTAATCAGGGTATCTTAAAAAGACTAAAAAGTGCCGGTGCAGAGTGCAGCAAGGGTTTGTTATCTGTAGTAAAATCATCTTTGAAGAGATGAACAGTTCATGATGTGATATGCTTGTTTGGCCAGCAAATGTCAGTTTGTGTGTGAATTGTTTTGAAAATGTAACTTCTGAATGAACAAATGTGTTCAAGCAAAAGAGAAAAACTGTAAGACTGATGTGAAATTTAAAATAAAGAACTCACTTGCACTGGTCTCTGCGCTCACAGACTTTGTCGTCAAAATCCACCTCGATCTTCAGTATGAACTGCAGCTCCTCGTTGGTGACAAAAGTGGCCAACGAGCCGTTGACTTTCTGACAAGTGTCCACGGCCTGCCAGTAGTTCTCGTTCCTCAGGTACACTTTGTAACAGCTGGCCGTCTTCTCGTAGTGGTGCCACCCACTGGGGCATTTCTCTGTGGGTGGAAGAGAAACACTGGGGTTGATACAAGCTGCGTGCACATAATGCATAATGCAGATCAACAACTTTAATATCAACTACAATTAACTGAAGGGAGTGAAGTGAGATGCTTACTGTTGAAGCGCACGGGCTGAGCCACACCGATGACATCTTCTACCTGGTCATATCCGTTGCCAAAACGAAACCTTTCCTCTTTTATAGCTGCAGGGAAAAAAAGACTCCAAGTCATGAAGTGTGGACAAGTTTTTTTCTAACCTGTATTTAGTTACTAAAAAGGAACACCAGTTATTTTTCCAGCGCACGTACTGGTGTGTGTTGTGCAACCTGTTAAAAGCCTGTGATGTAATGAAACAGGCATTTCATTTGTCTGATAGCCTGATAGATTATTAGATGAACTGTCAGTGCTGCACCAGCTCTGCCTGGTGACTCCAAGTCCTAAATTCTGTGTGTGTGTGTTTTTTGTGAAAAATGATATGCACTGACAACTATTCACTAACTGTCTCTCTTATTATTTACTTAATGTGCTTTGAATCAACATTTCCTCCTGTGTCAAGGTTCATTACTTATGACAAGACTTAAATGTGTCTTTGCAACTCAAAAAAATATAGAGGAAGTTGATAGAAATTTGAGGAAGATAAAAGCAGAACCAAAGCATTACTTGGTTTATTTTAAAGCAGTAGTGTATCCTCTTGTATCACTTGGAGTTTACAGTGATTCAAATCTAAAATGGCAGCATTGTCTAGTTGTCTACATACAGCAAATTCTAGACCCATTTCTAAGGCGAGATTTGATTTACACCAGAATGAATCTCCCATATTATAACATATCCACTGTTTTATCCAAGAAATATGTTGCTAGACATGACAAAAAAATTGTCATTTCCTTAGTTTTTCATAGTATACAGCATCAAATATTCAGAGATCAACAGGAAGAAGAGCAGCACGTAAAAAGAAGAAGGAAACACAGACTAACAGTGTAACACATTTCAGTAAAATAAAAAAAGGAACAGAAGCAGGCTGATTATTATTACCTGTGCTGAAAGCTGTCTGCTGATCATTAAAGGTGATTTTTATATAGCATTACAAGCTCAGTTTTCTCTAGATTAATTGAAATAATTATCATAGACAGAACAGGCAATAAGCAGGAATTACAGGTTATAAAAACAGATCATTGTACACTATAGCAGGAGTTTCTTCTGCTTTGAATTATGAAGGAAGAACGAGCAACTCAGCTCCCCAAAGTAACACATTAGCTGAACTGAAAACATAACTACTTTCAATTTTTTAAGTTGTTGTTATTGTACATCATTAATGTAAGTAGTCTTTTGTTTGCACCCCTGCTTATTTTTGTACAGTCTGCTACAGCATGTGTTTGTTGCAAACTGTAATACCTTGTCCTCTTGAACCTGCATTGACGTTATAAGGTTGGACAGTTTTTGCTGGTATTTTGTCTAGCTGGATTTAGCGTGAGGAATTGCTCCACCTTGCCATGCTATCCAACAAAGAGCTAATCCCAAACAAGAACATTGATTTCCATGCATGCTGTTGATTTAGCAGACAATAAGCCCTCGTTGAGGCATGTGTGAGCCTTGTTTGGGTTTTTCTTGCCTTCCTCTGTGAAGCTGCAGCGACTCAGCACATAAGGAATGAGTAAATACATAATGTTCAGCTTTTTATACCGATAATAATCAGCAGATCTGCTTCTGAACATACTGTGTATGAATTTGTGGGGAGTACTTATGATGGGCGAATAACCCAAGAACCCAAATGGTAATCTTCTAACAAACAACTCCTGCTTTTATTGCCTGTTCTATAAATGGTGGTTTGGCTGAGGGATAAATGGAGTCCTGTGTTATAAACTTAATCAGTATACAGTGTTGTTGGCAGGCGTACAACGTTAACTCAAAGGCATGCACGACTACTGCTGTATGGAGGTCACATGCTGATCCCAATCCTTTCAATAATTCCTATTATGCGGTCAGAGATCTGGGGATAAGGCCTCTCTGGATTTAACGGGGGAAAACAATAGGATTTCGGTCAAAGGCTTAGCACTGCAATGTCTATGCAGTGTTGAAGAGATCAACTAGCAGTAAATAAAAACAGAGACACATGTGCAGCCACTCAGAGTTTAACTCTGCCTCCCCCTGCCATCTGACGCTGTCAGTCCGGGGCTGCTAGTCTTGAATTTTGATTTCCTGTGGTGGATTAAGAGGACTTTTTTGTACCTGCAGAGTTAAAACGACATCCAAGCTGTTTGGTAAAGTAAACCAGCTGGACTGAACTGTGCTCAGGGTTTAAAACACTATAAATGTGACTGGGTTGTCCTTCAGTTCAGTCAGGGATGCATTTGTGCTCACACTACAGGCTGCTTCTGCTCATATGTGGTCTGCACGCATCAAGGAGCATCTCTGGATGTCGCTTGATTAGATCCCTAAAGCGTTCTGGGTGCATTCACACCTGTTTTTAGAGCCATCCAGCTGTGATCTGAATCGTCCAAGTGTGAAAGAGGTCCAGGGTGTTGCTATTCTTTCCAGAAATCAATCATGTTATGGGTGTTAGGTAACAGAGTGGGTGTAAAAGGGCTTAAGTGAGCTATACTCACGGGGACAGTCCATCTCGTCACTCTTGTCCTCACATGCTGTCCAGCCGTCACACTGCCAGGACATTGGGATACATTGCATCTTCCCACTGCGGCAGGCAAACTGCCCAGGGCTGCAGCGCTGCTCTGAAATACAACAAGAGAGTTCGTGTGGTCAAACCTGCACGTGACTGAGCCATTTTTTCAAACAGGAGAAAAAAACATTTAGAGTCAGAGTCCAGCGGAGGACTGAATAAAGCCACGTGAGTTGATAAAATAAGAGATGGTGTTCTGGTGAAAATTTGAGGGGTATGAAATACATAAACTGATTTTCAGTGTTCTTCCTGATAGAGACTGGGTGCAAACTGAGAAAATCACGGTCAAATAAGACTACCACTGCACCAGTGAGATGAACTTAATCAGCAGTATATATAAATATACACACTTCCTGTCAGCATGTTAGCCCACGTCTCGCTGACTCAATATACTGAGAAAGCATAGAAGGGCATGAAAGTTATTGGTAGAGCTTAAAAAAGGATGCTTGGAAAGAAAACCCACAGCCATTGGTAACTGAATATGTTTATAGTAATCCAGAGAAACCTAACGTGAACCTACTAAGTCAGACCACTGAAAATGAAACAATAGGACTTTTGTAATCATGTCTTCAAGTAACAGCTAGTTATAAGGGCAACTGGAAGGAGGTAACCTCAGACTCACATTTTTGTCTGTTAATAACCTTCAGCAATACAGTCTGTGCTAAGAAGGTCTCCACGCCATGTTCCTTACACGATGAAGGAACAAGTCCATAAGCAGACTCAAACAGGGCCCTATTCAGAAAGCAGGATTAGTGAAAACTCTGAGTATGTTAAGCCTGAGATTAGGGAAACTCTGACTTTTCCATCTCACAAAGCCAGTTCAGCGTAACCTTGAGTCACTATGGCAATATACTCTGTGGCTTGCAGGTTTGCTTAATCTAAGCCTGAGGCTGATTGCCTGCTGAGCATGTAGCAGGAAGCAGAGACATTGCGCGTTCTTCTGAGAATTAAGTCATAGATGTTGAGGCACAAATTATTCAGAGGCTGTTGAGTCAGGAGAAGGTGATTAGACCCCGTTTGGATGTCTTATCGTTTCCAGAGGAGTGTCTGTATGAAAGACACAATTTCACCTCACACTATCATTTATCTTAATCTGTTCCACCCAGATATATCAAATGTTACATATTGTGGATTTGCATTATCATCGGAGCAAATTTTATGCATTGCCCTTTGATTCTTCGGCAACGGCAGTTTTCTTTATAACAACGGAGATACTGTACACATCACCGAGGCAACAGTTTGTAGGACCGTAAAAAAAGTGACTCCGGCTCTGAAAAGACTTTTGCCCGTTTTTGTTCTGGAACAGAAAACTTGTTTACATGGACTCAAATATTCCACTAATAATCACAACAATAGTCCAATCAGAATATAAATGCCTCATGTAACCACCTCTTTCGGATGAGACTAGCCTAATCTGTCTCGATTGGAGGGAATTTTCAATCAGGCTGAAAGGGGCGATGTAAACCTTTCATAATCTATTCATTTGAAAAAATATTAGTGCCTAATGTAAACGTTTAATCTGATCTTTTCTCTCTGGTTGGATTAAAATTCTTTCTGCAAAATTTTCCCCCTACGTGAAGATAACATTAGGTGACATAGTGCGGCAGAAATGACATGTTGCAACAGCTGTTTCTACTAGATTGATTTAGTGCTCTGCTAGTGCTATTTTCTTATGTGAGAGCTTTGATTAATGAATGTATTCTGCAATTTTGATTTAGTAGCCTTTTGTTACACTGCAAGTTAAAAAAAGTTTCAAAAAAGTTCTGATTAAAAGCTTCGGGGCATGTAGACGCACATCTTGTTGGATCAATTCTTTAGCATCCATGTAAACATTTAAGTTGAAATCTCTCATCAGATGATTTCAATCAGACTGGAGAAACACGGTCCCTGTAACCAGCTAATGTTATTTATCACATTTGAGAAAGCTAAACCGATTGTCAAGCTGTTTTTAAAAAGTTAAAATATAAACTAGATAAGTTACTTTGAAAATCAGATTTAATAATGTTTTAGGGAATTCTGCTATTGTAAAAAACAAAAAATGCACAGATGTTTAGATAATGAAACAATCAGTGGTTTTCAGGCTTTATATTCTTTGAAGAGAGGTTTCTCTTTACCATCTGAAAATATTTAAGGGTCAGTTGTGTTTCAAAATTAAGGAGCTGCTGATATAATCTTACAAAAATGTCAGACAGCCACTACACTAAAAGATACACTGCATGCTTACCTGACAATAATCTTGCCAGAGCTAGCCGCGGACCTGAAACAAATAGAAACAATAGAGTGACTATCCTGTATGTCAGCGTGTTGTCTTTTACGGAACAATACGTTTTCTATAAGGATATCTATTAATTATACTGTCAGCAACTCTCTGGCATTTGTCAGTGCTCAGTGATTCCCCCGTTGCTTGCCCAGTAGAGGGTCCATTACACCATCTGTTCTTGGATACAGGTGGTGATGTTTACCTACAATAGAGCTGGACCACCCACTCACCTGACAAATATGGCAACACTATTTTTACTTAGAAAAAAAAAATGCCTGGAGCTATTTCAAGTGACTATTGTTTCATCTGTGTACCAACTAACCCAGGTGACATTAATACACACAAAGCAGACTTCTAGCTTTGATGATCCCACTGAGCAACAACCTACAGCGAACTTTAATACAGGGATTAAAACCAGCCTTTATATGTACTACAGTTCTGACGGCTGCACAAATCATTAATGATTAGCCTGGAATAAAAACAAATGTGTGTACGTGCCTTGGAAATACACTGCAAAACTGAAATGGCAAAGGACTGATTTACTTCTACAAGTAAGAGGTTATTAAAAGTTTTCCCAATATTAACAATCACAGTGCAGCCTCACTAGTTGCTTTCTTTTCAGAGCCTAACCTGCAGCTTCTCCCTGGGTTTAAACACAATCCAACAGGACGACTGTTCAGACCTTCAAAAAAACATGATAATCATATTTTCAAAAACAGGAATCTCACATTACACCAGATGTAACCTTGTTCTGGTCTCCTGTAACAAAGGTCGCAAACCTGGCCTTATCAGGTTCTATTGACTTCATTTTGCACAACATCCTGCTCACTGTAAGTCCAGGATGTACCCAAGCTGAACAAGGTTAATTAAAATATAGGCCAGTGTAGTTATGAGGTGAGCTTCCTGTTTTTCAAACACCACATAAGGTCGTAGTTGATGGCCTAAATCGTTTCACCATTAGAATAGGTTTAAGAAGTGTGAAACTCCAGCAGAATGGTTAATTTAGATGCTCTGGGGCTCAACATTGAGGATTACCCAACCTCCCTAGGCAAATAAAATGCCATGTCGGGTTAGTAAACCTAGCCACTGTTTTTTTCTAGAGCAGATGATGGAAGTAACCTTGCCTCTTTCTTATATCTGTTAAGAGTTGCATGCACAGCACCGATCAGGCACTTGCAAGAAAATGGTGGTGGATAAAGACAAATTTTATGAGCTGAAGCACAAATGAGAATCTTAATTATCCTAGAAACAGGAGTTTGGGTGACGTTTGAAGATGTGGGCGAAACTCCTTTGAAAGCAAAGACTTTCACTTGGGGCAAGTAAATTTCTGACCCAGTTGCCCTACCAGGTAAATGTAAGAAAAAAAATTAAGAGCATACGAATAGTCTGGACACGGCTCTCAACATGCAGGTGGCTGAGCTGGCGGCTAGCAACTAACTGTGCTAACTCCATAAACTAAACAATGGCAAAAGTGCTAACAGAGCTTACAGTGTTAATCAGGGGGGAACCACAAGGTGGGCACTACGTTTCAAAGACTACGCTGTCTCGATATCAGTGGCAACTGCTGTATGAGCACAGTGCAAAGCAACGGCAGTTGGCCAGCCAGTGTGATACACAAAGGGACTCACATGCAATAACATGCACGCGCGAAATGTCCAGCTTACCACACAGAGAAGCTCACACTACAACACACACAGAGGTGATGTGACTTCATTCTCTGCTCAGGACGCCATTACTCCACTATATCCTTACACAGCAAATAGAGGTTTGCTGCTATATTAATGCTATTATCAAATATAAATGATGACGAAAAACCTTAAGATCTGGGCTGAAAAACATTAAGGTTGACCTTAATGCCGATCGTCTTCCCTCTGCCTAAAAGGTGTCTAACAAAGCAGACGTCACCTTGTCTCAGTTAATGCTAAGTGGATTGAGACGCATTACAGGCCCGTCTCAGTCTCCTGGGACTGGATGCATTATTATCGATCCGATCGAGCCTGAATATGTGTCAAATTGATGGATAACATTAGAGACCACGTATCCCAAATGTGATGTTAATAATTAATGCATATACAGAATAATAGACTGGGCAAAAAATGCTTATGGCTTTCAAAGATGACAAGTCAAGTCAATCTTGTTTTAAGTGTCCTTGCAGGATATTTATGTGAAAATTTAGTGTCTCCTGTATATTTAAGACACATGTTACAAACACTACTACACCACAGGGAGATGTGAGCATTTTTCTTTGCTTGTACATGGCTGCATGGTGATGTACGAAATCCTCTGACAGCCAAAGACTTAAAATTTACATATTTTTTTCAATAATACACATTGTAATAAGACTTGTTGCTTTGCTATGTTAGCTTACAGAGAGGCTAGCGAGCAAACAAAGCCCTAATCCAGCTGAGGAATGTTTATCTAAAGCAGACTTGGCTTGAAAATAAACGCCTGATTTGTGCTTTCTGGTGCCTGCGGTTTGAACAAAGACCTGGCGCATGCACAGATCAGAATTCATTCTTTCTGTGCTTTTCCAATAACTGCAGCTGGGCAATTCACAAGAGTAGAAATCATTCAGAAACTGGTAGCCTACTACTTTTGGTTATCAGATATATCAGATTGAAGGCACAGCTTGGGCATCTCCAGGTTAAAAAAAGCCTCTTCTATATCAGCTCGAAGTTGAAGTGCACTTCCCTCGTCATTATCTGAACTTCCTGGGGATTGGGATGGAGTATCTGAATCTGCTGTGGTTCACAGCTGCCTGAAAGCTAATCTATGCTTCCGTGCTTGGTAGATAAGAGAGATTTTACTGCACACATTTATAGGGAGGTTTTGTTTTTTTGCTTTGAGACAAACTAGAAGAAGATGATGGCTCATAATGTACCACAACATGCCCAATGCGATCTAGTGAACATGCCTGACATGCATGTACACTTACTGCTGTATACAGTAATGCATCTGCCTGGGAATCCCTGCATTAATGATTGATGAATGACAAATAGAGAAGTACTAAAGGCCACAAGGAAACAGGGTAAAAATCGTTTCTTATCAAAGCTATTTCTCACACAAGCTTTGGATTTTGGGATGTCACGTCTATGAATGAGTGAACACTGGCTACCCCAAGCCTCTGCATCTCTTACGTAACCGACAGGAAAATACAATAAAGACTATGAGAGTGCCCCAACTCAGTATCACCGAAGTATAACGGCACAGTGAATTGGCCTTGTACACAGCGCACTGCATCATCCCCAGCCACTGATGATTCATATCAACACTGGGGCTCACTGTTAGAGGAAGTGAGTGGGCATTTCTTTCTTTCTTTATACCACCTCACATTTAAAACCAGTGTATTTTCTTTACACGGTGTGGATGAAAGCACTTTGGGTCCTATTCTTTCAAAAACATAGCTGTTTGGTTTGGGCTGGGAAATGAATCCTTGAGTTGTCTGACAGACCGGACACTTTCACTTCTTTTTAGCACTAACATGACAATTTCAATACAAAACTGTAAACATAGTTGCTCCTAAACACACAGCTGTAGCACTGAGGATAACTGTATTAGGGGAAAATATTAAGAGTGGTCATTTCTACTGCTCCAGAGTTACAAAGGATGATTTTCACTGACCTAGAGCATAAAATAAACCATAATCTATCTGCAGGCAGCTGGTGGGATCTCAGGTACAAGACCCTTGGCTTTCAAATGTATTGTCAGCTTGACAGAAATCTCTCTGCCCTGTGACACGGTCAGCTTCCTCCCCTGAGATTTTCCACAACATTTTCATTTCCTCCACATACACGTTCAACTGCTTGACAGTACAGGACAGCAGCATAAGCAAAATGTTGCAAAATGTTTCAGGTATGAAGGTGATAACATCTTGTTCTCGAGCCAGAAATGTGTGGAAGGTCAGGGCTGACTCACAGACTCTTGCGGCTAGAGACAATCATCTTTGCACCTAACTGATTATTCTTAAAATAACAGAATAATGTTATTTTACCAATTTGATTTATGAAAGACTAAATATTTATTTAAAGGTCTGGTAGTGTGTAGGATTTAGTGGTATCTAGCAGTGAAGTTGCAAATATCAACTCACTGAAACTTCTCTTGTGTGCCATCAAGTACAAGAACTACAGTGGCTGATGCAAAAACACAATTGGCCCTATCTAGAGCTGGTGCTTGGTTTGTCCATTCTGAGCTACTGTAGAAACAACATGGCGGACTCTGTGGAAGGGGACCCGTTCTGTATGTTGTTTTACCTGCGCATTCTAAGATAATGAAAACACAATGATTCTTCGTTATAGGTCTTTATACACTAATGAAAACATAGTTATGAATATGAATTTCTGCCAGTATAGCCCGCTAAATCCTACATGCTGGACCTTTAACAGTTGCATTAATGGTGGATCACCTTTTTTACCATTTACAGCTAATAACAACTCAAGGATTAGAGTTATGTTATGTTGTACTTATGAATAAATGGCTCATCATTGTGCCAATGAACACCTCTCTGCTATTCAACATTTGAAAGTAAATTTTCTGCTCCCAGCTTTTTACAAGGTTCCCCTTGGCACAATTAGCTGAATGATGAAAAAGATACAAAAATCAATGGACCTTGTGCTTTTAGACAGTCAAACATAACGACGGTATGTCGAAGGCTGAATACTACATACTGTATATGCACTCTGTCACAAAGATGATTACCAAAAAAAAAAAAAAAAAAAAAAATTAATTTACCAGTCACAGTGGAATCTGGCTACATAAACCTAGCTTGATATTTGACCAAGCACAATAACTTCCACCACCATCACATCAACAACAAGAGTGTTTCCCACAAGTCATTTTTCACACCTTTATATCAATAGTCTTTCAGAAACTGTACATCACTGTGGCTGTTATTCAAGTCTTCTCCGTTTGGCCTGCTGCAACCTAACTGTCAACTGCAGAGTTGTCGGCGAGGTATCAGGTGAACAAAAACCTCTGACTGTTGATGGATGATGTCAAAAGTTAAACTACAGCCAACTTTTTTGTGCAGAACAAATTGTGTTACACGGGCAGCTGGTTTATCACTGACAGCTCAGCCCCACAGACGATAAACAAAGTTCAGTGGACGGGTTGCTCAAGTCGATGGCGGTGTGAAACGTGCGGCGAGATTTCAGCCTCATTGTGTCGACATATTCAGCCCAACCGAACTGTGACTGGTTCTTCAAAAATGTTTAGAGCATGCATTGAAGCAGTTCCCATATCTACTGTGTCTCCCATTTCTAGACTTCTGCAATAACATTGGGCAAAAGGTTGTGAAACGCACGGAAGAAATGGCCACATTAATCAGGTTAACAATCTATTTATGATCATGTGATATGCATGTCTCTGTGGTGTATAACTGACATGCACATAAGCTAACCACCGAGCCACCAAACTGACCTGATAATATATATATGATCATATCTATTTCCGTTTTTATATTTGTCACATACTTTTGCAATACTGTAAAAAACATACATGCATGAGTAACCAATGAACATTATTTGCATGTGCGACTTACTTGAGAACTAACAGTGATTCTAAACATATTTTGTATTTAAAGCATGTCCAACGTGTTTCATTTCCCCATCAGATCAGATGGAGAGTGTTAATAGCACAACTACATTTACAATGTTGCCTGGCTCACTATGTCGTCTGTAAGTGAAGCCTACCTGTGTGACATGAAAACTGTTTCATGCTCACACCTGCTCAAACATTTTTAAACTGAGTTACGCTCCAGCAAACTGGGTTATTCCTAAGATGAATGTCCAAGTCTTGTGGGCATTAAGCTTTGGGAAGCCTGCACTCGAAGTGTACCAGTGAGCTCTACAAAAAAACACACCCTCTGTGACACAGCCTGTGCAAAACATGATAAAACAGATAGTCGTCCCTGTAGGAGGCTTGGCATGAAGGCCATACTGTCCCCCAAACAACTAGGAGTGGTTTCAAACCCAGGCAATACTCTATTCAAATGCATTATGCCAGGGCTGAAGTTGTTTTTTCACAAAAAAAAAAGGTGCTGCGTTCACTCTTTTGCATTAGAGAACATTATGAATTCACCTTTGAAAAGATGAGTAATTACACTTGATTACACTCTATAATTGAAAGCAAATGAAGCACAAAGGAGCTCCTAATATCAACTTAATTTCTGCTCAAGAAGCAAACACAAATGAACTATAGGAATCATGCAGTGCTGTGAATACAGTCCTCATTATTAAGCCAAACAACAACATGTTTGTTCATAGCTGGAACTGGAACAGTTTCTGCAATCCTTACGATTGTCAGGATCACAAGATCAGGCCTAAAGGAAACCACAAGATGCATTAATGTTCTAGACGCTTAAAGCAATCTGGGACGGACTGTGAAAGTGTTTGCATTCAAAGCAGCAGTACAGGGTATAAATTGAGGCAAATTCAATGAAATCATTTTGGTTTGGATCATAACACACGGGCATTTTGTGCCAGACATGACTACCTATCCCTGTACTGTAGATGGCTTGATTATTTACAAACATACACACTATGTATTTGCTTATCAGGGGGAATTTTGCATGTTTTAAACAGCCTAAATCATGGTTCGTGTCTGCATAATCAAAGCATCATGACAATTATAATACTGTCTAGTTATTCACTGGGATATGTGTTACTGTGTGACAAAAGGATGAGTCAATGAGGCAGATTTTGGGATGCAGGATCATGGATCTATGACATGCATTTCAAATTGCAGCTTCACGTTAAAGCGGACACAAACCAAGTGGGTAAACACACCTAGGTTTAATTGTTTACACGCCTTTTTATACAAGTTGAGACACACACACACATTTTGTAATAAATAAATCTTTATAGCATAATATCTCAATGCAGCTGTATCAATAAGTGCAAAACAGCTTAGAAAAGAGGGGGAACGGTGTATATGTGAAACTGGCGTTTTTATTGGATATATTATAGCTACGTGGGCTGTATAAATCTTTTAGCGTTTCTTGATTATTACTGATACAGGTTTTAGTTTGCTAACTTGTATATTTTTGGTGCTACAGTACCGAGAGGCAGGCGGTCCTCCACGCCGCCCAGCAGTAGCCGAGCAGCGGTCTAAAAACTACAAGAGTCCCTGGTCTATCCAGCGGGCCTTTCCGCCTGACCTGCCGCTTTGCTTACAGCTGTAATCTCTGTTTCCCCCACTTCCCAGCCGAGCCCACGGGAGTGTACGCAAAGCAAAAACAACTTGGATGTATTTACCTGTCCGTGGTGGGTCCGTTAACGTGAGGACGAAGAGAAGAGAGAAGAGGACGAAACTGCTGCTGTCAGCCTTTGGCAACATTTATCCTCCATTCATAGTAACTCCTCTATCCAGAAATTTAAAAAATATACCGAGGATCTGCGCCGCCGCCGCCCTCTCCGGAGTTATAACGTTAACCGCTTAACACACTTTGTACCCATTTTTATGCTCTCAAAGCGGCTGCTAACGGAGAAAAATAGCGTCTGTAACGTTACTGTGAAGCATAGCCGCACCGCACAGCGACGCGGATTGTGGTTAACCTGGCCGAGCAGCTAACGTTAGCTAACTGGCGCTGCCGTGAACGTCCGTCCTCTCCTGCTGCTCGGTGTGGAGCGGCGCTGATCCAAGATGGCTGCGGCCTCCCATCACAACAATCCCAAACATTCAACACACAGGCTATCAGCTGGAGGAGCTGTCGGGGCGGAGTTTAGCCGCTTATACCCAGTGTGACATACGATAACCAATCTCTATTTGTGTGTGAGTGTATGTGTGTGTGGAGATCGTTATGAGATGAATCTAACCCAAAATATCAGAGCGGATGGCACGGACACACAAGCGGCGCTGGTGACTGGCGCAGTTTATCAATTAGGGCTGCTGGCACACAGGGCGGTGTATCATCCGCTGGTCACGCACACCACAAGACTCTGATCAAGTGTGATTGTGCTAATTAAAAAAGATAATTAGATGTAACGACATAGTTAACCTCAAGGTCACGAATTTACGTGACCTTATATCATCCATCACTCCACTTAAGGAGGGATTTATTCTAAAAGCCAAGCCAACTAAAGTTATTTCACCCAAAGCAGTCATGAAAGGAGATTTGGGATCCTTGAGAAACCTTTGTACTTAAAATGCATAAATATGTATTTCTCCCCAAAATATAATTGGCTCCATTTCATGGTCCTCCATCTCTTCCTGGGACAGTGTGACCTATTTGACCTTGTGTGTGAGCCCATGGGTCAGACTCCAAGACTTCCATTATCATAATAAGTGAGTCTGTGTCTTTGAGGGAACTTTATGGCTAATTCTGCAGTCATTTTGGAAAATATATCCAATGTGTTAAAGGTCCAGTGTGTATAATTAAGGGGGTGATATTGGCATGTATTATATGTTGTGTTTTTTCATTTTAAAAATATTATCACCTGAAAATGAGAACTGTAGTGTTTTGTTACCTTAGACCAGGGGTTGGCAACCGTAACTATCAGAAGAGCCCTTTTTCACCAAAATAATGAGCCGCAAAACATGCACTGCTTATCAAGTCTGAATCGGCCTATATTGCTAACTGGTCTAAATGAGCATTCATTAAAATGTTTTACACAAGGTGGCTACTCTGCAGTTGGCTATTATTGATTATTTGGGACTTTAACTTTGCGGAGTTTACGGTAAAAGCAAATTAATCTATCTGCATACTTTTGAATTCTCTATTTTTTCTCCAACACTTTTACTTTTTTGGATTTGGAATCAAAAGCAAGCCTAGCTGGGGTGACTCAAGACTAACCACTGCTAAAGGTATGTAAAAGGTGCCGGGGGGAGATGTATGATGCACATTTTAGTTGTCTATGTCTAAACATTTATTTTTATTTTGTGCAGAGATGCATAATTCCTTAAGGCCTACAACAAATGAAAATCTGAATGTAAAAAAAAAAAAAGTCGTTCATTTCCATATGATTTTTTTTTAGTCAAAGCCACAAGGAGCCCCTGAAGAAGGGCTAAAGAGCCACATTAGGCTTCAGAGACGCAGGCTCCCTACCACTGCCTTAGACTGGGCCATTTAAATCTATATAGGGAGTGGGTCCTTGTCTACCGATATTGCCATGTTGCACTGCCATGTTTCTACAGTAGCCTAGCCCCTCTGTGACGAGAGGGTTGGGAAAACACTGATTATTTAAAACATGAAACTTCTTTGTTTTCACCGGTTTAAATCACAGGAAAAGACCTCTGCCCTCCTCAACAATGAACACTGAAGGAATTTTAACCTGAAGAAGATAAAGCTGGTTGCAATCGACAATCCTCACCGCTAGATGCTAGAAAAAACCCTCTAAATCTTACGCACTGTTCCTTTAACTGCCATTTTCAGGCTTTATGTACATAACACTGCCCACATTATATGGTATGCTCGCTGACTCTGCTGCTATAAATCACCACTGACACTTTAGCTTACAATTTCTTTCACCAATTTTTTTTGTATAGTTTTTCTCATTCTACCTTAGTTTTTTAATATATCTCTCATTTTTTATGTTTTTACTTTATTTATCTGTACTATTGCTGTCTATGTGCTACTTTAACCGAACTTCCCATCTGGGGATTAATAAAGGTTTATCTTATCATGTGTTAGGAACCATGAGCATACCGTCAAAGGTCATGTACACATGGACATGTGAAACAGGGCTGCACAACATGTAAAATATATATATTGCGATTATTTACTGCAATTGCAATAAGTTGAAATTTAATTGGGAATGGTATTTTTTGCATTTTGTATTTACTAAAAAGTATATAAAAGCAATGATGATGTGATGTTTGCTGGGATCTGTGCCAAACACACATGCTCCCTCACATCTGGAATATGATTTTTAGGCTGGAGTATCTCTGTAACACTACAATGTTTTATCTGTAATGGATCAAAAAAATTGCAACTCCTGCAATTGGCCACATTGTAATTTGATAATATTTCAATTAACTGTGCAGGCCCTGATGGGAATATTGTTTTAAGACAGATTTAACAAAATGTGAATCTGTCTTAAAACAATATTCATATGCCCATCACTGCTTTTGTGACGGCACCAAAATCAAGGTGGACATATGTTCTTACAAGAAATCACAATCCTTATCAAACATTTGCTGTTTTAAAAACACAGGCTTGTGTGAGTTAAGTATGATGTCCACAACTGAGTCAAAGGAATGTCTGACCCGCTCCTGGATAACATCCCTGGTTATGAAAACACTGACCTATGACCCATGACTCCCCTGAAGAGGTGAAGTCGTAAATCAAGCTGCAGTGTGTGTGTGTGTGTGTGTTGACTTCCCTACACAACAGAATGTCATCTGATAATAAATCTGGCCTGAGGGGACCCTGTGACCTCTAATGCTTAAAAAACAGTCTGAAAGCATGTTAGTGTGTTTCTGGCTGTATTTTCAAATCAGAACAATATGACTAAGCCTGTATATTTGACACTTGCTTGAAAAAGGGAGGTATAAAGTCATTATTCACAGTTCTGCTCCACCAGCAGCAGGAGGTAGAACAGAACTATTGACGAGTATGTCATCTGGTGATACATGGTATAACATTCTTTTGCAGGCGTTTGATTGTCCAAAATGTTCAGTTTTATTATAGATTTTCAGAAAAAGGTTGTAAAGATTTATGATGCTGAGCCCAGCTCTGCCTGTAAAGTTTTTCCAATATAGGGCAAAGAGAAAGATTCATCATTTACCCGGCCTTCACTGAGCTGTCTCACTGAAACTGTGTTTTCTTTTCCATTTTTAACACTTATTCATAAGTTTGAGTAATTTCTATGATGCAGAGACAAATACTGAAATGTCATGGTAGCATGAATGGAGAGCTGAGAGCTGAAATCTCATTTGTATGTGCAATTCTCAGAAACAGCGACTGAATTATATTAGTAACATTTAAGCATGTGCTGCTGTGGTGGCTGTGGGGGATGACGAATGTTTGTAGGAGTGGAAACAGTTGTACAAAAGTCTACGAAACCTTGCATCTGGAATAAAAGAAAATAAGATAAACGAGTAATTAAATAGAATTTGGACATTTCACAGGGATCTACTTTAACCCACCTGCTCAAAAATGTAACAAATAAATCCCTAAAAACTCCTCAGTCCTCTGTGCATGACTTTATCCAGTCCTCCAGCTGAAAGATGTGCTCTTTCATTTGACAATAACCAGGTCTGGACAGTTTATAATCAAGTTCTCCACAGTATTATATGTCTGTTTTGTACAATCCCGGCCAGCAGAGAAGAGCTTCTCTTACTTAGAAAAAGTCTGAGGCTTTCCGTCTCTTGGGAAGTTGCAGCAGATTGTCTGTGAGTGACGTAAGGTCCTGAGAGCTCGGCGTCTTGGCTTTGTTTGGCGTTGGCGTTCCTGAGGGAGTGGATGGGCCACCGAAGGGAGTCTTGCATCCAGTGACTCTGTGCGAGGGCGATGGGGTGTAACTCGCTCGTAGTGCTTTGTCCGTGTATTTGCTAGATGTCCGATTTACGAGCCTCTGCAGGGCGGGGGTGAGGGCTGGGCTCAGACCTTTAGGTGTAAGACTGTAACACAAAGGTTGATTTGGTTGGTTAGTTCATACGATTCCTTCACAACTACACTAAAAAAGAAAACCAGCAGCCTAAAATAATTTAAAGGTGACCTGTTATGCTCATTTTCAGGCTCATACATGTATTCTGGGTTTCAACAAAAACATGTTTACATGCTTTAATGTTCAAAAATACTTTATTTCCTCATACTGTCTGTGCTGGAAAACCTGTATTCTATCTGTAACACTCCATTTTAGCACCTGTTAGAGCCCCCCTACCGAAAAAGCCCTATCTGCTCTGACTGGTCAGCATGCTCAGGAGTCTCTGCACCATTACTGCAGCTGAAGAATGACTCTGAGTATAGCGACATTTTCTTCCATGAAAAATCACCAATAAAAGTTCTAAACCAAAAATATTCACAACCAAACATATTCCAGCAGGAATATGATCCGTAATTGGGGAGAAATTAAAATCAACAACCACCAAGATTACATGTTTCCCTGATGTTAGCATGTAGCTCCATGTAGCACTCCGTGTAATGTAAAGACTCGCAGGAGTGTGCCTTGAGCAGATGACCACATAAAGAACTCCACTATGAGCTGACATCAGCTTGATGCAAAAGAAGAACAGTTGAAAACAGAGGATTCACAACGTTCCGAAGCCTTAGGTTTTTGCTCACAGGGATTACTTTTACATACTTGTTCCTTACTTACATACTTGTTCCTTATTATTATACTTCTCGAAGCAGATTTTCTGTTATGACAGACAATAAAGTTTTCTGAATCTGAATTATTTGAAACTTTGACATTGTAACCGTTTATCTATCTGTGACAGAAAATAAGGACAAGCATAGTAGGTGCCCTTTAAACTTAACTTTCTCTTTTAAATGTAGGATTTGACAGATTCAGTAAGAGGTTGTTGCACATTTTCAACCAGCTCTGTTGCATCGCAGTGAGTGCAAATAAACAGTGTTTGACTCAGATGATGTGGAGCTGGTTGAAAGTCAGGAAAGTTTCAAAGGTCAAACATCTTTACCTTGCAAGGTTCTCTGTGACTTTTCGTAACGCCTCCTGTTTCTTTGCACGGTTTTTAGCGGCAGCTTCATTGGCCATCTTTAAACCAAGTCTCTCTCGTCTTCCTGGCTCTGGAATCTTTCAGAAACAAGATACATTCAATGTCATCATTTTACAAATTAAGAAAAAAGAATCAATCATTATCAAAACATTATAGCTACCACTGAAGGTTCACTACCTTAAATGATGGACCATGATTCCTCTCAACGTAAGGAGTGTCTGATCCATCCAGACGAAATGGTGTGCTCTCAATC